GCCGAGTTTAAAGGAAAGCGCAGCTTGGGGTTTCTTTTTCTCATGTCTGCAAGCAGCCAAAAAGACTTCATATTTCTATAGCTTGATTCTAAATCTAGAAATGTGTTGTTTGTGGGTGGGTTCTAAATTAAGCTAACCTCTCCTCCTACGTGTCAGCAGTGAGACTTGGGTATAAAAACCATCAACAAAATTGGCAATAATTGTCATTTTTCAGTACGTCACGACCATGCTGTTCTATGGCCTGTTCCTGTTAGGCAGTGGAAGAGAGGACCCTAGGCTTCTGTGGTCTTCCCAGAAGCAAACTGGCTTTTAAAAAATAAAATAAATTAATACAAACGCAGTATTGCCTAGTCTGGGGATTTAACCAAAAAGGGTTGCAATGTTTTGTGTTCCAGTTTATGGAGCTATGGGATAATAGAAGACTTTTCTCTTTCTTTTTTTTTTTTAATACATTTTGAGCTCTAAGAAGTGCAGAGAAAAGTCTGAAAATGTCACTCATGCACGCTAACACTCAGGTTTTTTAAGGCAGGCTCATGATACTTTGGGGTATGTACCTCATGCTTTTTGAATGCTAAATTTTGGTGATCTTTATTGTACTAATCTTATAAATGGTGGATTGGTTCCTGAACCAAGGACCGATGCCCTATTTTCACCAAAAATAACCCAGAATTTTGTACTCAATCAACTAGAGACGATTAATATAGCTACATTAATGTGTTTAGATTGTAAATAGCAATCATATTGATTTGGAAGGACTTCTCTGAGGTGACTTTGCTGGACTTTTTGAAGGACTCTTGGCTGGAGTCTTCTCAGGAGTCTTGGCTGCAGGTTTTTCTAGAGTCTCGTCTGCCTTCTTAAGGAAAGTGTCCAAGGAAGTTTGGACAGATAGACTCCAGGGAGATGGGTGATACAGCAAACTTGTTCGCTGGCATGGTGTTGCATCGGATCGAGCACCTTAAAGTCAAAACTGATGTCAGAAAGTCAAAACAGAGTGTCAATGTATAAATGTTGTCAGTGCCATTCATGGTAATTCGAAACATCTTAAGGACTGCCTGTATCTGTCCTGGCATTGTTATGCCTACTCCTTGGGGAAGTTTTTTGCATCTAGATGTAAGTTATTAAAGGCATGATCTTTCTATGAACAATGGGGATATTTTCACAAGCTAGCTCCTGGCCTAGAGAATGGAACAGGAGGGGATTATTTGGGGCTTCATGGGGCGCATCCAGATGAATGCAGACATGCAGTGTATGGTGCCGCAGACCCATCTACAGTGCCACACACTGCACGTGCTGCACATGCAGGTGTTCTCTGCACTAGTCATTTGCAGCATGAGGGGGAGGGGGCATTATTTGACACTGGGAGATCTTGTGGATTGGAGAGAAGGGAGAAAAGCCAGCACACATTTTAACTTATTTTGTACAGTTTTCTCAACGTTGCTAAGCAGAATGAGAGGTCAGGAGGCTGAGTATATTTGTAGCCTTTGCAATCAAGATAAGAGGTAGCAAAGAGGAAGTTGGAAGGAGGGCTGTATTCGCTGCAGCTTGAACAGAACCTTAAAAATAGAAGAGAGGAAAACTTCAAGACCACGAGGGGCTCCTCAGTGCTTCTCGCTGGTTTAAGCTCACATGTCTTCTGCCTACTGATGAGGAGCAGATAGCATACTAGGGTGCTAGTTGCATGTGGGACCTTGAAAGTCTGAGTTATCACCACAGAATATTGGTCACCCTTTAACGACCTGTTAATCTCTGAGTAATTGCTCATGTTGCCTAATTAAGCTTACCAAGGAAAGAAAGAGAGAAGTAGAAAAAGAGAAGCATTCTGTGTTGCAGCAAGGGTTAGATAAGGAGGGTAGGAGAGTGTATGGCAGTGAGCAGAAGAAACTTGCAAGTGGAGGGATTTGGGAAGCTCAGAACAAGAAATAGTTTGCTTTACTAAATAATGACCCATGTCTCTGTCCAGTAGCTCTGCAATTCCAGCTGTCAGATGGCAGGATGCATGCTGCCATCACAACAGGAAACTCCCCCCTTCCCCTCTTCCCCCTCCATCTAGCTATGCTAACTTTGAGCAGCTTGCTGCCCAGTGAGGAGCGGAAGTCTGTGAGGATAGCAGAGATCCAGGGCTGATTGTCAGAGGCAGAAGCCAGAAATAAAAAGCAGACAGAGCTGTGGTGGGTTTTGTAAACTTCAGTTGCTGCAGAATTCATCTTTTTTTTTTTTTTAATAAATTTTTAAAGAAATGTAGAAAGCAGAATGCTCCCAAGGGACCTGAGTCACCCATAGTGATATGCCTGCCTCTGAAACGTGCTCAATCAATGAGTTATTTCACAATGGCAATGTGCACTTGACTGTTCAAGTCTTGAAAATCCATGGCTATATTTATTTTTCACAGGTGAACTGAATATGTGACCCTGCAAGTGGGGTGGGGATGAAAGCAAAGGGTTGCCTGGTCTCAGAGACCAGAAGTTGCTCGTGTGTATAGTGCACGATGCGGATGTTGTAATGGGTTTGGGCGGCCAACGAGCCTTTGTATGGGTGCGCAGTTGCAGTTTTTGTAACAGGTTAAGGTTCTCCTTCTCTTTGTAGAGTGATACTCAGAGTGTAGATATATATAACCATATATACACACACACACACACACACACACATTATACACACACACACACACACACACACACACACACACACACACACATTATATATATACACACATACACACACACACACACACACACACACATATTGACATATATTTTTACCACAAATAGAAAAACATCTACTTTTGTAATACACCTTACCCTTAAATCACAAAAAAGCAGCTCCTGCAGGACCCACCCACCTTTGACATCAACTAGTTTTCAGGGATGCAAGCAGGCTGGAATAGAATCACAGTTTGCCTACGGCTATTTACATCTGCGCCTACACCCATGGTTACATGACTGCTGGGATACAAGGTATCGCTGGGGCAGAGGCATACTGCAGGGCACTGTCAGAAACAGAGCATGGTCAAGGTTCATAACTCAGGGAGGCAATGACTGAAGAGAAGGAAAGATGGCTCCTAATCTGAAAGGTGCCGCCCTGTCCAGTCTTCTTCCCGACTTAAGACTAACACTAATAACCACTTGCCAGTGTGGATGGAAAGAATGCAGCATGAGGCAGATGATTCCAGCCCCCATGCCGCACTGCAGCATCATAGACAGATGCAGTCAAACACCAATCTGACCCTAAATTAAGTGTTTTTCTTCAATTACATTTCAAAGATTTAAAAAATTCTCATAGCAAAATGTAGTTGTATAGACACAGTGCTTGATCCAGAGATCATTTGGATAGAAAATTTGTGGCCAGCTTCAGTCCATGACGCCTGACCTGTGTTGAGAAGTATTGATGTCTTAGGTGCTCACCTTTGCTATTAGAATCCTCATAATGCTTCTCTGTACCTCATTGCAGTCCCCACCCTTCCTCCTCTTCCTCCCTTTGCATTCCCCACTTACCATCACCACCAGTTCCTGTTTTTCCTCCACTCTCATCATAAAACCGGACTGTGTCAAAGCATTGGACTTAAAGCACAGGCTAAAGCCAATTGCAGTGTGCTCCTCTTCAGAGTGCATCTCTGGGTTTGGGCTTCTGCAGGATGTTCTTTAGGGAGAGTACACGTTGCATTTTTGACTGTCTGATTGAAGGTCAGGTTTATTATAGTGAGAAGGAAAGGGTTACATTGGGATGAGGGAGAAGTGGGATTTCAACTCCAAAAATTAAATTATACTCTCCCTAAAGAACATCCTGCAGAAGCCCAAACCCAGAGATGCAATAACAAGAGCTGAAGGGGCCACCTCCCTGTGGTGTTTTCACCTCCCTGTGGTGTAACACATACATGTGACATGAGTTTTGCTTTCAAGAATTTGGGGTGCAGTTCCCCCAAACCCCTACACCGATCTTCTTGAAACTTGGCAGGCTTCATGCTCTCAGCAGAGGCTACCCCCCCCCCGCCCCTGCAAGTTTCATCCAAATCAGACAACAAACAACAAAGTTAGAGATACTTCATTGATTCCCCATTATACCCTACGGCCAGATCTCCGAAGTGGCTCCAAAGCTTCAGTCACTTTGGCTGAACTGAAGCAGGAAACCAATCCAGAGCTTTGGATTGGAGCCCTGGCATCCGAAGCAGCCAGATCCAAGGCTGATTCGAATAGCTGCCTATTTGCAGTAGTACAGGCCTACTACCTGTACAGGGTGCAGCCTGCCCCTTTCAGGCATAATTCATGACATTGCCAATCCTAGAGGTACCAGCCCCATAAGTCCCATCATTTAGTGGTTCCCTATCACCTTTAGAGTGAAATAGGGATCATGGGGCAAGGACTCGAGCAAGAAGTCCTCTTTTCCATTGAATGCCAGGGTGCTGAAACAAGCCCTGAGATATTCCAAGGTTTCGAGGAGGTCCTGGGTAAAGAACCTGAAAGCTTGCAAATAAAGAAATTCCTTTACAACTATCTAACTGTCTAATCTAATCAACTATCTAATAAGAATATCGCCTCTACCACAAGAGTTCTGACTGCTTTTGCCTTTAGACTAACACAGCTACAATAGTATCCCTGGTAAAGAACCAGCATTCAGACAGGGTTCAGAAAGACCTCTTCGTGTGATTAAGGTAGGTTTCCAGCTGTACTGTATGGGCAATAGCAGATCCAGTTCATCCCATACATCACTTCTCCATTATACCCATCTGATGGCCAGGAAGAATCATCACCAGGAGGCAGAGGGAAAGTCTGTATTCGTGACCTATTCAACCCCAGGTCTCTGCTTATGTTGGCAATAAAAGAACAATTATGACCATGGTCTCCCTTGCAGGGTCTTGACTGGGGAGTCTGGCTGTCAGTATGGTTTGTAGCTGCCTGGGCAAATGCTAGCTCCCTGGTTTTGCCCAACCTCCCTCTAGCTGTCACACCTTGGCAGGCCTGATTTCATTATCATCTTGAGGCTCAACATGCCACACTCTTGTTTTGCAGGATAGACAGTGGACATAAGGCCATGCCTGGTAGGAGTGAGAAGCTGCCATCCACTCACCCAGCTGTGCAGGAAGCGTTGCGACAGACGGAACAGTCCCCTGCTACAACCTTGGCGCATTCATGGAGAACACTGGTCTGTGATCACCATTTGCTTGTGGCGGTGGGCAGGGAGGGACATTGCTTATGCCTGCCAAGCAGCCCTGTAGTCTTCATCATAGCAAGAGGCTTACTGAGATATAACTTCCCCAAATTATCAGGATGGATGCAGACCTTGCTACACCAGTATTTGGGAGGGGCTGAGCAGGTAGCTCATCCACCTGTTTCTCAAGAAGGCACAGGTAGGAAGGCTGATTGTATGGCTGGGCCTGGTAGTCCAGTGATCCTTTTTTATTTTCAACACAGCCATCTCTCATCAGCTTTTTTGTGCCTTAGTTTTCCCGTCTCCAAAACAAGGGTGTTATTTGCTGACCTAACCAAGGATGGTTAATATAGCTCTGCACAGAGAGGTAGCACAACTTGGATGCATGAAAATTAGGATTGAATTGTGCAAGGTGCTGTAGAGAGACAGTGTCAGAGCTCTCCTTCCCTGAAAAGCTTACAGACAAAACAAACCATTTTACAGATGGGAAAATGAGGCACAAAAAATTAAGTAACTTGCCAAAAGTTATACAGTAAACTTGTTCCAGAGGATGAACAAAACCCCTATCACCTCGAGCCAGTACAGTAGTTTCCCAGAAATTTTAATTTGGGCACAAAACCAAGCATGGGAAATTTCATTCACAGAAGAAAAATGTTAGCAAAATGATAAGTAGCTGGAAAAGGCCTTATCAAATGCTATACACAATACCTGTAATTAAATAAGAACCCTCTATAGTACAATTAGTATCTGGCTATTTGCTTTAAGGGTGCATAGAGTGCTGTAACTGGATAAAGAAAAGAATGGTAGAAGGTACTATATAGAACTATATAGAACCTGCTGGCTTATTTTGGGTTTCCTTCTCTATCTTTATGTTTAACCAGAAGACAAGCATAGCACTGCAGGTCATTCTAGTAGCTTTGGCAACTCGTCCATGTTCTTCATTGGAGATGTTCTTAATACAACTTGGTGAAACTTGAAATTTCCATTTTGTAGGAAATTTTGAAAATCAATAATGAAACAAAACCCCCCCCAAATTTTTATCATTTCATGTGTAATTGAAACTCAGAAAAAATATTTTGGAAATTTTAAATGTTGGAATTTTGAAAATTGACTTTTCACTCTAAATTTTACTTTATGGGTGTTTCTAAGTTATTATTTTATGTTATTTCAAGGAAAGTCAGCAATAACAACTAGTATGTCATATTATAACCTAGTATAAAAATTAAACTCTATTTTTTATTTGTAAAATGATTAAGGATGGCTCCTACGTCATGCTGTTTGACACATTTTATCTTCTTTTCTAAGTCAAAATCTTTCTTGTTTGTATTGTAATAGAAGAGGTTAACACTTTGATCCACACAAGGAAATAATTTATTAAAATGCAAACAGAACATATTTTGATTTAGAAATAATTTTGAAGTAACATCTGACTTCAACAATTTAAAAAGAAAATGAAAAACAGCGGAATAGCTCAGCTATTGCATTATGTCCTAGTATGACATGGAACTATAGCTGAATATGCACAGCATGCCATCAAATGTGAAAAATAAGGGGTATAAAATGAAAAGAATATTCAGAATGAAAAATTTTCCACAATTCAAAATGTTCAAAAAAGACAAATATTTAATTCCAAAATATATTAGAATAATAATACAATGTAATAATAATACAGTAATGCAACATTTCCATAGGAATTTTGCTCAAGATTCCATTAAAAAAATCTTGTTTTAATGAAAGCTTTTCCTGATGCTAAACCCTTTGGGTGTGGTTGGATAGATTGATAATATTACCTTGGATTATAGGGTTGTTGTTGGAGCATGTAAGTTTAAAGAGTTTTGCTTCCTTCATCTTCTTTAAGAAGTGAAGGTGTTTGTGAAGGGCTTTGTGGCTGTATGCAAGAGATCTCTTCTTAGTAAATGGCTGTTATGTCTGAGTTGTTCTGGATGCTGCCAGTTCGTTCTACAAGTCTGGTATCAAACTGTTCCTGGATGGCGCAGGGCCGTGTATGTCCTCTGCCTGCAGTGTTTCCTCTTTGAACCTTTACAAGTGCATTTCTCTGGGAAATGTTTCCATTGCTATGTCGGTCTGTACCTGAGGCTTACCCTCTGCTGACTGAAGTGAAGTCAAGAAACCATAACATTTTCCTTTTTTACCATCTTAATCCAGTTCTTACAGACCTCCTGCCCCATTTACAATTCCACTAAGCTGTCCTGGACTCCCATTCACCATTCCATAAAAACCATAAAGCACCTTTTGCTCTCCAGACCAGAAAGACCCTCACCATCACCTTCCAGGTTTGATTCTGAGATCATAATACCCACCTATCACTATAAACTGTTTTCAGACTGACAGCATCCAGACTGCATGCTCTGGCCTTCGATCTTCAGAGAAGCTCATTTTTTTAGGAAGGCTATAAATCCAAAGGAGTCCTAGGCCAGTGATTAATTTAGGCATCTCTGAAGCATCAGGAAGTAGGGCCTGTGATACAGGAGTTCTGCAGGAAGGAATTCAAATACAGCTGAACACAGGAGAAAGATAGGTAAATTAATACTAAAGGCAATCTAAAGGGATGGTAAATTTTGGACTGGGTTGTGTGTTTGTGTGTGTATACATAAATGTGTGTGTAATCCTGAATAAAGTGGGAAAGTTACCTGCTCTCAGCTAGATAACAGTCCATGGCCAGATGTTTATTTCCAATTCTAAGAATTCCTGTAAAATTCTTAGCACTGAAAACATTGGTTTGGAGTTGGAGTGTGCCTGCATTTATAGCCTGCTTAGGAAACAGAGGTACCCTGGAAGTCAAACCAGTATGTACCGGGTGGATGTTGTCAGGCCAAAGATCGACTATCATGATTACAGAACCACATCACTCACAGAAATAATGGTGATGGCAAAGTTATTTCTGGTTTGTAGAGCAGAAGGTGTTTTGTGTTATACATGGAATGGTTAATAGGAGGCAAGAAGGGATTTCATGGAAGAAAAATAGATTTTGCTTGCATGTGAATGGAGTTGGATGAGTTTGTGACCATACGTGGAGGATAAACAATGAAAATACTATGGTTTCCTGACCTCAGTCATGAGGTAGGAGGATTCATAAATGGAAGAAAAAAAACAAGAAACTTAATGTAGCTGGGTCTTCAAATGACTAGTAAGTGGGTGAGAGAGTTTTTACGTCATTAATTAGCAGATGGGGCAGAATGGTAAGGAACAAGGGTCTTATATGTGAAATGCAGTAGCTAGAAGGATGTCTCTTGGTATAGGTGTAAGGAACAGGGTTGGGAAGAGGCAGATAAAGTTCCTTGTTGAACCTTAAGTTTTCTGAATTTCAGATACCGAGGTTGTTAATTATAGCAATCTAAACTAATGCTCTCTCTGTTCCTAGAATGAGTGTACGCACTGTTAACTGTTTCAGCATCAGTGTTGATTCCTTTGGCAGTATCTTTATTCCCTATTCTACACACAAATTTTGGCTAGTTATCAAGATGGTACTTCATATTATGGCCCAAATCTTTACCTGCTGTAAACAGGCATCACTCCATTATAATACTAGAGTTTGAAGAAGTTTCTATTGTTCTATAGACTATCTGCTATCTGAATCACTTCTTCCTAAAGACTCTCAAAAACACAAACAGTCATCTGCAGAATTTGCGTTGCCTCCGTTTCCATACCTTCCCTCTGCTAAATCAGGGAATTCACTATCAAGCATTTAGCAGCACAGCTGCAGTAGCCCAGTTCTAAATATTTTGGTCTTAATCTACAGGGACCCATACAAGTGCTCTCCCATTCTGATGTGACCTTTTTAACATTGGAAAACATTTGATGTATCCTAAATGAAAGTGATAAAAGTATAAGTGCTTTGCCTATATGCAGTGACTACATCTCTCCTGAACCCCAGGCTGTATAACTGGTGAAAGAACAGCGGAGCTGCCTTGGCTCACATCATTTTCCTCCTCTCTATGTTAGGGGCTGAGTCAGACATTCTCCGCAGCGTGCATGCTCTGCTTCGAGAACTCGATAGACACCACCCTGCCTTCCAGAATGAGCGAGGTAAGATAGGCCCTCTTTCAGTACAGCTACCAGCTACCTAGTGCTGTTTTTTATGTCTTAGAATATTTTAGAGTCAACTGGTTTTGGTTTTGTTTGGTCCCACTGACCCCATAACATCCAGGTGTTCTATTCTACTCTGACCAAGTTGGGGTAGATGATATGGAAAGCTCTTATCTCCTCAATACATTGATCGTGCATTGCTGGACTTGTTCCCAGAAACACCAAAAGTTTTGACCAACCCCTGATTCTGAACAAGACTTTTCCCACAGAAATTAGAAATCTAGTTTCTTTTCTTTCCAGAGTCTCCAAAATTCTGATTGCTCTGTAAGCAGAAAGATATAATGATTAGATGAGGAGACTGAGTAACAGAGTTCAGAGCTTCATTCCCAGCTCTGCCCCTGATTTACTGTATGACATTCAATAACTCACGTTTCTGTGACTCAGTTTCCCTATTAGTTTACCTCCAAATGGGTTAATGTTCTTCTTGATTAAGTGTTTTGGGCTCCCCAAATAAATAAGGTAATTTTAAGTGCCTTGTATCATTGGTTTGCAAGGTGAAGCCTTGCACTGTCAATCAAATAACTGCACTCTAGAGTCCTGGGAAAATTAATTCATAAAAAAGATGGATTTTACTTGGAACTTTCAGAATACTTTACAGTTAATTGAAATTAGATTTTATCTTGCCCAATTCTTAATGTTTGAAAAACTAATATGCATGGATTTTATACCCTTTATTCCTGTTGGACATCAGTAGCTAACTTTTCAAGTGCTGCATTCTGGGAACAGCAGCAACAACATCTGCCTGCCCCAGATAGGCAAGCAAATTTCTATGGAAGTGCAATAATAATCCTCAGCCCTTTTCTAGAACCTTTATCACAGGATCTCAAAGACTTTTCTTCACACGTCACCACTGCCTTTGGAGGGGGAGGAGGAGAAGAACATTAGCTTCCTTTTTTAACAGAAGGCTAAAAAGAGCTTGAAGTCTGGGGAGCTTGCTCATGGTTATGAAGTGAGCAAGAAGCAGAATCAGGCATCCTGATTTGTGGGACACTGAATTATTCACCAGGCCATGGGCCAAATTGTGATGTGAGAATTGACCACAAGTAAGAACTGAAGTTATCAGAGTTGCTCCAGTGAGAGAGCTAACATGAGAGAGAGCAGAACTTAGCCCACATATGCCACAGCTAATAATTCCCAGCTTCTTACAGTATACCCTCCACAGGCAATTTGCACAATGTACCCTAGGAGTTTCATTTAAGACATACCTACATTGTAGTCAGAAGTGTGCAGCAAGACTTGGCATGCTAACACTAGCCTTGACTTCACTAGCATGGACAACAGCAGTGGACATGTAGAAGCATGGGCAGAACAAACCCACAAGAGAGCCTGAAGTTGCTAGCCCACCTGAAATCTGTGCCACATCTTCACTGCTATTGCTACCTGTGCTAGCCAGATTAAAATTTGTGCTCACCTGTGCTGAATCACACCTTTGATTTCAGTGAAGACATATTCTAAAAGTCACTCCACACAATTAAGTGCAATTCTGTCACTAAATAGTCCACAGAACACATACATAAGATGCATCAGCCTCCAGGATGGCTACAGGCCAACAGAAAGCTATTCAAAGAAAGGTCCTTTGGGGCACTATTATGGGAAATTCATTGTTCTCAAATGGCCTCTTACAGTGCACGTGTTCCTGCAATGAAAAAAAAGGAAACCAAGTATTCTTCAGCATAAACGCTACAATTAAGATTCTCTACCAGCAAGGACCCACCAATGGCTCATTGGTAACATAGCAGCACATTTAATATAACCTACACCTGACTAGACCAGACTATTGCCGGGAGCTAG